TCCAGTTCATAACTGGAGGACTAGGTCCTCATGAGCTATTATTTAGAGGTACTCTTTGGTCCTCATGGGCTTTTATTTGGAGGTACCTTGTGATCCTCATGAGCTATTATTTGGAGTTAGTCTTGGATCCTCATATGCTATTATTTAGAAGTACCCTTAAGCCCTTATATGCTATTGTTTTGAGGTACCCTTTGGTCCTCATGGGCTATTATTTACAGATACCTTTCGGCTCTTATGAGCTATTATTTGGAGGTATCCATGGGTCCTCATATGTTACTATTTAGAGGCATCCTTTGATTCTCATGTCCTATTATTTAGAGGATCTTCTGCATTCTCATATACTGTTGTATAACTGTATGTTGTAGTTCTTACATCTTTGAAAATCCCTCCACATAATAAATATAAGTCCACCGTGTAATAGAAGCCCATACGAAACAGAAACCCAATTCCAATAGTATCTCGTTCGAAACACATTAGAAGCCCTTCTATCCCAAATGAGCACAGAACATATACTTTTGGAAATTGATAAGCGAAGTCATTGCTTCCCAGTGTTTAATTATGGATCACTTTTATGTCTCAATCGGTTTGCTTTGTATATATTTTCTATCAACAGAAAAATCACAAAAATTAATGCCTTTTAAATTTTGAAAAATATATAACAATTCGTATTAGTATAGCATAGTTGTCTTAGAAGTATTGAAAACGTTTCATGTAAGGAACAAACATCGTTCTCATAGATCTTGTGTTGTGTGGAAATTACGTACAGCTCGGAAACCAAAAGATGCAAGTTTATACTAACTTTTGTAGCAATATGCGCATAAACCTTTTACCAAAAAATTAAGTTTCTAAAGAAACTGAAGCAAAAGAAGAAAAAGAAGAAGAAGAAGAAGACGAATACCAAATCTTACGGCTACCTTGCATTATAGGGTGCTGTTCGTGAACAGTTTCGAGAAGCCCGATAGTTTTTTTTTAACATCTATTACTAGATGTAGCACTGGACAGAAGGTCAGCTTGACTTAGAGTTCTTCTCGCTTAATTTCTTAAGCTCCCCATACATAATGACACACCACATACTAGTCACAAGGACTATTTATTGTATGTCAACTACGTAGTCAATTTTTTATCGAGTGGATGGTAGGAGACAAAACAGCCGTTAATGACTTGTCCAAGGTCATTCTATGACTGATGAAGCCAAGGTTAGAACACGGTATCTTATGGAGGGTGTCAAAAATTTTAGTCATTCAGCCATAGCGACCTTTGAAGAAACTGAAGTATATTTGACACCAATTCTGCACAAGTCATCGTACTTGAATAGCAATGTCAGTATGGAATCCTATGACATAAACTATTATAATATTCAAGAGTCAGACCCATCTACCTTTCCAAAATGGGAGATCCTTGCTTTATAGTCAACGAATCATTGTATATTTCTCTGGCAGTATGTAAAATATATGTCTTTCCGTATCGGAACTGTGCGTAGGTATCTAGGATCCATTATGTTTGCGTGCTAATTAAATATTAATGGCAGCATGAAAAATAACCATTGGAAAAAAGGAGCGCCTGAACAAACTTATAACTACCATAAGAGAATGAAAACCACGTTCCTACGCCCTGTCACCCTTGAGTTGTGAGTGTGAAGCGACGGATGGTAAGAGGGCTGACAAAACATCAGGACGTAAGGGCACTTCCAAATAATATTCCATGATGAACCAAGGATGTCTCTAAATAATAGGACTTGAAGACCTAAGGATACTTCCAAAACGTAGCCCATGTGGATCCAAACCCTATCTTAAATATAGAGAATTGGTGAGTTCAGTACATTCCAAAGAAGAGGCAGATGAGGACACATTCAGACTGGATAGCACTCACTCTACTGAAACAGGTCTATCGCTAGTACCTCATAACTTGTTCAGTACTTTCAGAGCACCTCAGCATCTTTTCAGCACCTCGGCACCTGCTCAACACGATAGCATCTGTCCAGCACTTTCCAGTGTTTTTTGGTACTGTGTGCCAGCACTAACCTCCTTGTCCCAGTAGTTTAACAAGTGTTTTTGCAAATCTACAATATTGCTCAAAATTACTGTATTGAAAAATGTCATTTTCAAAAATGTAAATTCCAAATGAAAACGATTTTAGATATCCAAATAAACTCAATTGATCCTGATTCAGCGTCGAATACTAATATACGAAGATGTATTTTGAGCCCCTGAAAAGATATACGAGAGCGTTTTAAAAATCTAAAACATTCGTCAATGTTACTGCATTGAAAACAAAAAATGACATTTTAAAATAGTCGCTTCACAATGAAAACGGTTTAAGGTATCAAAATGATCTCAACGGATCCTAATTCAGCATCAAAAACTAATATAGGATCATGTCTTTCAAGGACCCCAAATAGTTTTAGAAACCGTTTTAAAAATCTAAAAAACTTTGGTTAAAGTTTCTCCATTAAAAAACAATGACACTTTGAAATTGTCGCCTCAGAATAAATACGGTTCTAGATATCAAAGTGATCTCAACAGATCCTAATTCAGCATTGAAAACTGATATAGGATCATGTCTTTCGCGGACCTTAAGTAGTTTTAGAAAGGGTTTTAAAAATCTAAAATAATCGGGAAAGTTTCTCCATGGAAAAAAAATTACATTTTCAAATAGTCGGTTCAGGATGACAACGGTTCTAGATATCAAAGTGATCTCAACGGATCCTAATTCAGCATTAAAAACTGATATAGGATCATGTCTTTCGCGGACCTTAAGTAGTTTTATAAAGGGTTTTAAAAATCTAAAATAATCGGGAAAATTTCTCCATGGAAAAAAAATTACATTTTCAAATAGTCGGTTCAGGATGACAACGGTTGAAGGTATGAAAAAGATCTCAACGGATCCTAATTCAGCATTGAAAACTGATATAGGATAGTGTACTTTGAGCCCCTGATAAGGTTCTCGAGTGGTTTTTTGAAAATCTAAAATATTTCTAAAATTTTCTCCATTGAAGAAAAAAATGCCATTTTGAAACAGTTAGTTCAGGATGAAAACGGTTCAAGGTATCAAAGTGATCTCAACGGATCCTAATTCAGCATTAAAAACTGATATAGGATCATGTCTTTCGCGGACCTTAAGTAGTTTTAGAAAGGATTTTAAAAATCTAAAATAATCGGGAAAGTTTCTCAGTGTGAGTGTGATGAGATTTTTAACTTTGAGATATGGAGAGATATACTATGAGCTCATATAAAAGTGATCTTATAAAAGAAGTGAAGCTAGATTTATGACTGCTGTCAACCTCGTTTAAAACTCTCGTAAGAGGATGTAGTTGTATAGATTGTTAGAATGGATCTTTCATGACATTCGACAAAAAAATATGAAAAAATTTTTCACCGACACTGGTGATACAGAGTACCAGAACGAGTTTTGACTTGACTTTAAGTCTCATTGTCTGGTTTATGCTGCAAACGATTGCAGTAAAATTCCATGTGATACGAATATCACATATCTATGTGTATCGGTTGGGATATATATATTGAAATCGATTACTGAGAAAGAAATCGGTGAATGGGTAGTGGTCATTCGCAACAACCAATCAGATTAAAGATATGAAAATGAGACTGACAATAACTATTATAATCTAGATATCATCTTAGTAACACAAACTTCTGTTGAATAACTTGAAAGACTTTATATTGTATGATAAATATAGAAATCAATATTGTAAGATACAGAGATGGACACGATTGATTTCATATTTTCTCAGAGAACTCTGTGGATATCTATAGAATTCTATTGTTACATAAGTGGAAATTCTATGGATCATTGAAAAGACTCAGAAATTGAGAATAATTTTTAAAACTATTAGAAGAATACATGAGAAGACAAATGTATTCAAACTATTATAATTCTCATGAGAGTTTCTTAGTGGTTATGTCTCCCGATGAAAGTTTTCATATTGACTCTGAAGTTCTTTTGAGGGTTTCTTCAAAAGGAGAGTAGAGAGATTCTTTTGAGTAAAATCAATCAATAGCTAACAAGACCAGTTTCGATAAGTGTTAAAATTAAAGGGTGTGGGTGTGGGTGTGGGTGTGGGTGTGGGTGTGGGTGTGGGTGGGTGTGGGTGTGGGTGTGGGTGTGGGTGTGGGTNCAAGGTGCAGAGTTCAAACTTGAGCTGTATTCGGTCTCATATCCTATTGGTTTGGCAACGCGCAATATAAATCAACATTTTAAATGGTAGATTTCACAGTATAATTTTGATATTCAGATAGTCTAGGATGATTGATTTGTATGATTCACTTTTTGAAGTACACATAACTCTCGGATTTAAATCCGAAGTTTCCGCATTTATTTCTCTCTGAAAGGGATTTTAAAACTACAACAATGCTTATGCCAGCCCGTTTTTCAAATGGTTGAATTTAACTTCTTTTTTTTTCTTAAAGAATAAGAGTTGAAGAAAAAATACTCTCTTATAGACACTGCATTCTAACATTCTCTTTAAAGTCAGAAAAAATAACGATACGAATTATTTTTTTCAGTCATATATTAAACAGATTCTAACCTAAGTAAAATAGTAAAGTTTGCTTCTTTCTGACTTTTTTGTTATTTATCTAGGTGGGTACACTAAAAAAAAAAAGGTTTTTTACCGAACCCCCGAAAAAGGTTCTGCAGATTTGAAAAAGTTTGCAAATGCATTCAAATGCTCAAAAAACGATTTTTCAGTTCTACGAAACCTTTAAAGGTTCTTCCCCTGGATAAGCGGGAAGAATCTTTTTCCTGCGAAACCTTTTTTAAGTTCCGTACAGCAAAAATAGGTTTTGTAAAAACAATACGAAACCTTCAAGGTTTCATATTAAATTCTGACTGCTTTTTACTAAACACTAATGGTTTCGCACTGAACCAGTAAAATTTAATACGAAACTTTAAAGGTTTCACAGGAAAAAGGTTCTTCCCATGCATCCAGGGGAAGAAGCTTTAAAGGTTTCGTAGAACTGAAAAATCGTTTTTTGAGCATTTGAATGCATTTGCAAGCTTTTTCAAATCTACAGAACCTTTTTCGGGGGTTCGGTAAAAAACCTTTTTTTTTTAGAGTCTACATCTTCTGTCCTTTCTTATTGTTTGACACTTGCCTTTCTCTATTTTTAGTACCGCTACGGGCCCCTGCTATTGATATTCATCCGAATGCAAAATGGATAGAAAACAGTCTCAATATAACTGGAGGCAATCAAATCCAGTACTCAGTCAGTTTGTATGTTGATGATGATCAAACAATTTATGTCGTTGATCAGGTAAATCATCGTATTGTGGAATGGAAATATGGTGCAACGAGCGGGAAAGTAGTTGCTGGTGGAAACGGACAAGGAAATGGCAATAATCAATTAAACAATCCACTTGATGTGATTGTTGACAAAGAGAGAGATAGTTTGATCATTTGCGACAGGGAAAATAAAAGAGTAGTTCGATGGTCTCGTGCGCATGATGGTTCTAGTGGAGAAATAGTCATCCCAAATATCGACTGTAAAGGTTTGACAATGGACAAGAGTAGATTTCTCTATGTTGTTGATAATGGAACACATAAAGTGAGACGATTCAGAATTGATGATGCTGATACTATAGGAACAGTAGTTGCAGGTGGGAATGGACGTGGAAATCGTATCGATCAACTCGATAGCCCCAGCTACGTATTTGTTGATCTAGATGATGCAGTGTATGTGTCTGATTATGGAAATGATCGTGTGATGAAATGGGAAAAAAGTGCAAAAGAAGGCATTATTGTGGCTGGTGGTTATGGTATAGGAAATACACTTAAACGATTGGCAGGTCCTCAAGGACTTGTTGTTGATCAGTCGAGTACTGTTTATGTGGCTGATGAATACAATCATCGTATAATGCGTTGGCCAAAAGGAAGCCCACAGGGAAGTGTGATTGTTGGCGGAAATGATTCGGAAGGACAGTCGAGACAAATAAATTTTCCCGTTGGATTATCATTCGATCGACAAGGCAACCTTTATGTCGTTGATTTGGGGAAAAGGGAAGTAAAAAAGTTTAATATTCAATAGACGATGAACTCATGATATTTATTTGCTTGTCTTATTGAAAATGATTTGAATTGATTAAAAGAAAGAAGGCTATTCATGGCAATTAATTAATAACTACATTAGATAGAGTGGTGTGGGCGTGGATGATGCATGTGTGGGTGTTCGTGTAGTACATCTCTTCGTTCAATACTCACACTCACATCCACAATTGATATAATTGTCATAAAACAAAGAACAGCTACCTTCCACCATATCAATAGTGAATTGTTAGATATTTAAACATGAGAGCGAACAGGGAAAACATTTTGTTCTTTTCAGATCTTATTCTGTGATGAATGATGCATCAGTTCGTTTTAGTTTTGAATCGAAGGAACTTTACATTTTTGATGAAACTCATGCACAAATGTTACTATATGATCTTTTATGTGTCTTTCGTAGTTTTTTTTAACGATCTCTGAAGCAGTTGTGTTTATCAGGGTGTGTGTGTATGTGTGAATGTCACCCTTCTCTTTATTCATACCCACACCCACACTCTTCCACTCTCTAAAAAAAAAAGGTGCCATACTGAACCTTTTCTCGGTACCATTTTCAGAACCATTTTTAAGTTCAAGCGAAAAAGTCTAGAACTTAAAATCAAGGGGGAAAGTGCTGGCACCCAGCACCCTGGTACTTCAGCACTTGCTCAGCACCTCAGCACCTCGGCACCTTTTCAGCACCTCTCAGCACCTTTGGTGCTGAAGGGGCTGAGATGCTCATGCTATAGTTCAATGATTAAAGGTCAAACGTTGAGGTGCTGGCCTTTAGTCTTTGAACTGTATGTATGACCACCTCATAGGGATGCACGAGTTTCAGTTCAGAACTGGAGGACTGAAACCTCATCGGCTATTATTTAGAGGTATCCTTAAGTTCTCATGTACTATTTTTGAAAGCACCCTTGGGCTCTCATGTGCTATTATTTAGAGATACCCTTAAGTCCTCATGTGCTATTATTTGGAGATATCCATGGGTCCTCATATGCTACTATTTAGAGGTACCTTTTGGACCCCATGTCCTGTTATTTAGAGAGAAGCCGCTGACTAAATGGTTAAGATGTTCGACACATATCCACAAGACAGTGTGCTCGAACCTCGGCGCCATCAGACATAGAATAACCTTGGACAAGTTACTAATGACTGTTTGCCTCGGACCACCCATCTGATAGCACGCTGACCACGTGTGACACACACAAACATCTCTTGTGGCTAGTATGTGGTTATTCAGTGTACATGGGGAGCTTAAGTGATTAAGTGAGAGAAATTCCGAGCCAGGCCGGCCTTCTGACCAGAGTTACAGCTAGTAATAGTTGTAGAAAAAGTATTGGGCTTTCGAAACTGTCATTGAACAGCACCCTATATTGAAAGGTAGCCGAAAGGCAAGGGTATTCTTCTTCTTCTTCTGTTATTTAGAGGTATTCCTGCGTCCTCATATGCTGTTGTACGACTGAATGCTGCGGTTCTTACGTCTTCTAAAATCCCTCCGCAGAATAAATATAAGTCCACCGTATAATAGAAGCCCATACGGAACAGAAACTCAGAGCCAAGATTATCACTTTAGAAACACACTAGAAGCCCATCTATCCCGATGAGCACAGAACAGATACTTTTGGAAATTGATAAGTGAACTCATTGCTTCTGAGAATTTTATTATAGATTACTTTTATATGTCTCAATCGCTTTGCTTTGTGTATATTTTTATCAACAGAAAAATCACAAAAATTAATGCCTTTGAAGTGTTGGAAAATATATGGCAATTCGTATTCATATAGAATAGTTGTCTTAGAAGTATTGAAAACGTTTGACGCATGAAACAACACAGTTCTCTTAGGCCTTTTGTTGCGTGGAAGTTATGTGCAGCTCAGAAACCAAAAGATACAAATTTTTACTAACTTTTGCAGCAATATACATAAGCCTTTCACCAAAAAATAAAGTTTCGGAAGAAACTAAAGAATAGTTGACACCAATTCTGCACAATTCATCATACCTGAATAACAAGGCCAGTATAGAATTCTACGACATATACTATTATAATACTCAGGAGTCTGACCCATCTATCTTTTCAACATGGGAGATCCTTGCTTTACAGTGAACGAATCATTGCGTATTTCTCTGGCAGTATGTAAAATGGTAAATATCCTCTTCGCCGAAATGCAGATCGCAAAATTCTGCGAAGTGCATTTCGTCAAAGTAGCACTTCGGCGATGTGACTATCTGCGACTTTTATGCCAATGATCGAATTTATCAGTTAATAATTAACTTGAGTGAGTAATGCAATAAAGTCCTCACTTGTTTAAGTTAGAAACTATGCCAAATTAGGAACTAACTTGACTTAGCAGCCGTTGAAGCTAGTCACTAAGTTGGTTTGGTAGTAACGCTTTTCTAATAGAGGATCGAAAGGAGTTCGGCGATCTGCATTTCGATGAACTTCATATCGAATATCTGTATTTTGGTGATGTTCATATCGGTGATCTTCGTTTCGGCGATCTTAATTTCGGCGATTAGGTACACAGCCTGTAAAATATATCCCGTTCCATGTCGGAACTGTGCGTAGGTTTCTAGGATCATTTATGCTTGTGTGCTAATTAAATGTTAATGGCAGCGTGAAAAACAACCATTGGAAAAGGAGTGCCTGCGCAAACTCATAACTACCGCAAGATAATATAATCCACTCCGCCCCTGCCCGCTTCCATTGAGTTTTTATTGTGTAGCGACAGGTGGCAGAAGGGTTAACAGAACATCAGGAGCTAAGGGAACTTCCAAATAATATTACACAATGGGCCAAGGATGCCTTTAAATAATAGGACATAAGGACCTAAGGGTACCTCTAAATAATAGCTCATGAGGACTCAAGACTACCTCCAGATAGTAGCATATGACGACCAAAGACTACTTCCAGATAGTAGCTCATGAGCACCTAAGAGTACCTCTAAATAATAGTGTAACAGTATCGTCATAGCCGTTCTTTCTGACTATTTTCCTTTGTATTATCTGTGCATCTTTCTGCTCTATCTTCCTTATTTCTATCTTTCTTGGTTGCGTCTATAAACCCGTGTTGTGGATGTAAACGATGGGATTCTTGATAAAAAGAAATATAATAGAGCGTAGTTTCATCAGCGTTAACTCTTCTTCTATCCCAAATCGTCATAAATGATCGATGAGAACCCAAGACTACCTCTAAATAGTAGCATATGAAGACTAAGGGTGCCTCTAAATAATAGGACTTGAGGGTCCAAGGATTCCTCCAAATAGTAGCGTATGAGGACCCAAGACCTATCTCAAATATAGAGAATTGAGGACTTGAGTACCTTCCCAAGAAGAGGTAGATGAGGCTACAGTCGAACTGGGTAGAACCCCATCTACTGGAACTGGTGCATCCCTAGTATCTCAGCACCTGTTCAGCACTTTCCAGTGTTTTTCGGTGCTGGGTGCCAGCACTTCCCCCCTTGCTTAAAATGGTTTTAGACAGAAATGCGGAACCTTAAAGGGTTTTAGATTTTTTGGATAGAACCTTAAAAAAGGTTCTGAAAATGGTACCCAAATCTAGAACCTTAAAAGGTTCGAGACCTTGGTTAAAACCTTAAATGGTTCGGTATAGCACCTTTTGTTTTTAGAGAGCACGGCTCTTGGTCTTGAGGTATAGAATGATGTGAATCTGCACTTCTGTAGTAACTACAATTCTGAAATTTCCACTGTAGACTAGGCCATAGATAGGCAGTTTGCAGTACAATTTTCAAGTCAAAAGATTGAGCCTAGCTCGAGATTTGAGTCAAAAACTGGTGAGGTTGTGAGGCATTAATTCCATTGGTAGACAGATATTAATTCATAACTTAACAAAAGCAAGTCCATTTATCATGAAAATTTTACTAAAGAGAGAGGAAGAGCCAGGTTTTCCAACGGTGGGTCAAACAACGTTATATCCTCTTCCTAGCGCGAGATAGTACAATAGGAAAATATCGTTGATATTAGCCTCAGATTTCAGTCTGGATAAAGATTTCGAACTGAAGCTTTTGTCCGCGATCAGGACTCATTCAGTTCTTCTGATGGCAGAAGTTTCAATACCAACAACCTTTGTTTCAATAGTTTTCGCCTGGGAGCGGGACTTCTGTCAACGACTGTATCTATGCCTAACTGTTCATCTTTCTGTTCTTTTCTTTCTTCTTCTCTGATGTAATATATGTGCATGCGATATTATGCATCGGTGGTGATTCTTTAATTTGAAGAAATAAACAAATGTTTATGTTCTACCTATTCGAACCCATGATTTGCCCTTAAAACAAGTATAATAAAAGTAGGACATAACATACACAAGCACCTATTGATTCTTTACTATTACTTTCTAAAAAAAAGAAAAACAACCATTAACCCTACTACTTCCAGCCTATTTTCAGCGCTATACAGAAAAAATACGTTTTCATAGAGCGATTCTTCTACTCTTGCATCACTGTTCTGAGCAGATAGAGGGAGTGGGGCAAGTCCTCCTGCTCCAATAACCGGAAATTATATACCATTCAGTCGAATACTTTAAAAATTTTACAAAATCTATGAAAAATTATAAAAATGGTATTCTCTTTTTTATTTGAAACAGTCAGTACAATAAATGATTTTTTCAGGGTGTGGATGTGAGTGTAGTTATGTATCTTGGTTTCATCCAACTCACAGCCCCACACTCATCCACACCCACAGGCACACAGAATAGCCACAACCACACTCCACAGTCAGAGCCATTCCCTTGTTATATCGAGAAAAAGTTAGTCAGATTGAATAGAAAGTATTGTATCTTCTATTCATATTTAAAAAAATGAGTAAAGTAAGTAAATTTTCTTCAACTTCTTACAGATAGTAGAAATTATTTAGTCTGATCATCATCGTAATTTTCATAATTATCTACTAGAATATTTGATGAAAAATGAAACAGCAACATTAGCTATTGGGCTATCTACTACACTGAAAAAAAATCCGTAGAATAATAAACGAAAAAAACGTTTTTGAGAGGGTATTAAAAAAAAAAGGGTTTATGAAAGGGCAACGGGGAACAAACCCTTTTTTCCGTATTTGACGAAGACAATAAACGGTTTTTACGTTTATGTTTTCTAAAAAAGGGTTTATCAGATATTTCAAAAAACGGAAAAAAGGGTTTGTGTCCCGTTGCACTTCCACAAACCCTCATTTTTTACAGTGTACTTTTCCGGATGCGCGTAAATAGAGGACCCACATGTTAAATTCTTTTCTTCTTAATATGTATACAACGTGACTCAGCACGTGCTTCCAAACATACAAACTCAATCTATTTTTATACAACACTTCTTTTCAGTCAACTGAACAAGATAAGAAAGTGATTTTTTTTGTTTTGTTTTTCTCTAGATGCAAACACAAAGAATTTCATTTCTTTCCACTACACTTTCTTTTTTTTCTACTTCTTACACTTTTCAACAATAATAAACTCGTACGCGTTGCTATCAAAAAGATACAAATAATTTATACATGGGTAAGAAGAAACTACAGTTCTAAGAACCATTGCACAAAATGAACAATAAACACTATTCAATTGATGTTACATATTTTAATGAAATTCTTGATATCAATTGAACACATGATTTGTTTTTAAATTATCTATACTGTGCAATGGCTCTTAAGTATGTTTTATAATCAAAGTTTTTACTTGTTTTCCCATGTAACCATAAAACGCATTCTTGACGCGTTTAAACGCGTTTGGAATTCAAAACAGCCTCCAAACGCACGAAAATGCGTTCGCCATATGGTGTTTGAACGCGTTGCTCAGTCATGCATGCGTTCAGACGCGTTTCGTGACTAGAACGCATCACAACTGGTTCATATTAGTTTTAAAACGCGTTTCAACGCGAACAGTTTCGTTTTTGCATCGGAATGCGTTCATAACTGGATATAATCTTCACTTAGACGCGTTTCAATGCGATTGCTTTTACTTATACATCTGAACGCGCTTACACTATATGCACCTAATGCTTTTGACTTCCAGTAATACATGCATATGTAGTTTCTTTTTCCGTTTTGCATAGATAAGATACATTCGAACGCGTTTATTGCTGCAAGTGCATATAGTGCTATAAATAATGCAGAATACTTTGTCACAGTATACGTGACTAGATCTCGAACAGTAAACTGAACTAAATGGATTTCATTCAAAATAGCATAAAAATTATGTAGTTAATTATTTTGATGAGGTATTCAAGTCTTACTGGGTTTCGATTTCCTAAAGAAGACTCTTCTTGATAATCTGTAATTTAACATATCAGTGGATAGCGTTGCATGAAACAGAAGATAAATAAAAATTTCTGCATGCGAGAAATCTCATCATATTTGTGTTCATCATATATAGCCATGAAGCTTCGTTAGTATGTGAAATAGAAATAAATGAGTACACGTCTCAAATTTTGAAATGTACAGAACATACATTCGAAAACCGTATTACAACAATATTATTTTCTTATATATGTTACCACCAGAATTTTTTCGCGAAATCAATTTCGCTCGGGTCTGGCACATGCGTTAAACGTGACACTTTAAATTTCAAAACCAATAGAATTTAAATGCTAAGGAAGAATGGTTGCTTCACCTCAAACATGAAGTTCAAAGTTGGTACCCATGCAAACCTATTAAGGATACAAATAGATCAGAAAAATAAGAAATGGAAGAATCTAGATGTAGTTCAGACACAATGGTAGAGTTGCTTTCAAACAACACTTGAAACAGAACTGCGTCTGACTGCGACTAAAAACAACTTTATATAGCGTCTGAATGCGGTCAGAACACAAACGCTCTTCCAAATAGTATTGCCACCGTGCATTTAGATGCATCCATGTGCGACAATTATTTTATTTAGGTTGCTTATGAACTCATTTATCATACATATTATATTTACATATGTTAAAGTCTAAGATTTTTTTCTGTTTTTTCATATAAAAGGTCTTAGACTAAACAGTCAAATGTGACAGATAAAACAAAATGCACATAACCGTATAGAAAAAAAACTTAATTCCTTAAATTTATTTGCTTCAATTCTCATTTATTTTTTTAAAAAGTAAATTCTATAACATCCATCTGTGCCGCGATATGATTAAAAATTTCATTCAAATAGAAAAAGAAAAGGAAAAAAAATAGTTAGTTAATTTTAATGTAAAATTTACATTTTTTTCGTACTTTAAATAGACAACAAAAAAGCTGAAATGCCGCATCTATAATACACATTTATTGAAGAAGCAATTAATTATTAAAGAAACAGTTTTTTTTCATATCCTGCGATCCAACAACTAAAATTATATTTTTATAAATTTAATCATATGTAACCGATGTAGTGTACGCAATTTTAAGTGGCACTGATAAATTAAAAAAATAAAAATCTTTCCAAGTTTATGTAATTTAATGAACTAATTGCTAGAAATTGATGTTTTTTCTCTATTAAAAGTCACATGACAATAACAGATAAGACTGTACGAGTATTTATAGCTTCGTGGTAAGTTTAATGTCTTTCATTCTGTAGGTATCGTGGTCGAATCTCGTTTGTTGCTTTCTATTCAATAGCTTAATAATGTATTAAATTGAAATAAAAATATCATGTGGTGATGAAAATGCATCGATACCATGATATAGAGCGCAATTCTTCAAAATTTAACAAATTTTTAATGTCCTAAAACGCGTTTAGACGCGTCTAACAATAAAAAGCGTCAGGATGCGTTTCTCTATCAGAACGCGTTAGGACTCCCAAAAATATTGCATTTTGGACGCATCCAGACGCGTGAAGTTACATTCCTGACAAACGCTCGGGGACGCGTCGAAAATTAAAAAATGGATACATGGGTTGTTTCGCTTTTCGATTAAAATAGAAACCTCACCACGAAGAATGTCTACAGCACAAGCTGATGGTAGTCTATGGAAGATGACTTCCAGTCAAAAACGTAATAGCGATGGATCAATTATTGATTCATATACACAAGCAATCATAAATAGAGATGAAAGTGAACAACGAAAACAAGATGGTAGTAGTGGATTCTTTTTGACTGATAATCAAAAAGATACAGAGCTTACTGATACGAAAGACAAAACAAATAAACAATGAATGAAATTCGTTCAATGGATACTGTTTTCATTGGATCTTAATATTCTAACTTTAAATTCAAAAAACTTCAGTTTATACTTGTATTATTATTACGACACTATTTTCATCATTTTTCATTGTTGCCCTCATATTTTCACTATTTTTCTTTTTGTGTCTCTCTTTCATTTTATTTGTTTATTATAAACAAGCGCAGATATTAATTCAGAGTCGCAATTATATAGTAACAAAACCCATTAGAATTTTTGAAACAAAAATAGAAGCAGTAAAGTGAAATATTTCTCTTTTCTAATGGTCGTTTGTTGTTGCGTTGACATAAATTGAATTATCAGCAATTTAAATTTCAAATAAATTTAAATTATCAGCCAAAACAAAATCAACAAGAATCTTCACCAAAGATAATTAAAGTTGGACAACTTAGATCTATTATGAGAAGTAGAAGTAACAAGTAATCATTGAAAACCTTCATGATATCAGTTATGGCTAATTGAGATTAGTTAAGTCCAGATGAAGACGGTTATGACTGATTAAGAACAATTAAGACTACTGCGAGATGTCTAAGGGGTGATGTTCCTTTTCTTGGATTTTATTCACAAAAATCTCTATGTTTTTGAAATGTTTGTTTAATACACATATCCATGTAGACTATCAAATGTTACGTCTTCTATTGTGAGTGGTCATTTATGATATTCAACAAAGACTCGCAAGTCAAAGTCTGTAACTTTCTAGAAATCGTTTCACAAATTGTAAGATACCTCTTGTATGTCGTTCCATTGTCGATGTATCCAACCCAGTCTAATAGTAAGAAGCCAACAAATAGTATCACGCGGTCTATTTTCGGATGAGACATCTCGTAGGTAGGATGTGACTGTAGGTACAGGTGAAGAAAGGTATCTTGTCTCCATAGAGCCATATTTACTCCCATCTGTCATTCAAAAAGCATAATTTAAGAACTCAACACTAAAGACAACTTCAGAAGAAATTGGTAATTTTTTATAGGAAGAAGTTATAATTGCAGATCTTAATTCATATCAATCTCCAAATAAATTTGCTAGATTAGTACTAGTCGACTATGTGTTTTGTTAAAGAGAATTCATAATTATATTGGATCGTTCAAGATTTTCGCAAGTTAAATAGTAGACAGCAGTCCTTCTTTATTACTACATCGCAGTTATCATAGATACTGAAGGATTAAAAATCTCTGTATACAAAATGTGCCATGAATGTAGATCAAAACCTGATTCGAAATATAGTCTCGCGTTATATACAGTTATCCATGCTACAAGTTGCATTGGAGCTCAAAAGCTCTTGCTAGACTATCACATCCATATTCACCTTCTTAGCCACATTTTCTTGTTTTTCTCCGCTAAATCAATAAGCTTGTCTACGATATTTATTCCTAAGAAAGAATACTACATAAATATACATATTCACTCTTTTTTCTGTTTTGTCAAAAAAAAAGACACAATGAATGTTCATGGCAATCAAGAATACATGAGACTGTTTGTTTCTTTGCATGAATATTGATCACCCTAATGTTTGAGATATTGAATGCCAAAAAAAGCTATTGTTCAGCATCCAATAATAAAAGCAAATAATACTCCAATACAACCTCCAATACTAATATAATCGAGACCAAGATCTCGAATAGTGACTTCTCCATCAGTTATACATTTACCTAATGCTATCTCACTAGCTGTACATGTTAATTTAAGACCTTCTAATTCGTTGAGACTTAGTCTCACATAAACATATTTGATATAAGATAGAGCATCGAGCCATGAAAAATATTTTGCTAAACGAGATGGAGCCAAGAAAAAACCACCAAAAAGTCGTGTTATTTCCAGTGCCATAGGTAAGACAGTGACACTCATATCTGTTGTCTTACATAGAGCAGAAATCATTGGAGCCAATGATGTTGTAGCGAAAGAACACAAAATAATGATCACTACCAATATAAAGAATTTGCTAGCAGACAATTGAAAACCAACCAGAAAATAGACAGTACAAGACTAAAAACACATTCAACTGATATCAAATGAAAAAAGAACTTCATCAAAAGAATGATTTCACTCACAAATAAAACTGGTACAGGAGCTTAAACAAGTGTATCTGCCACAATTTTAGCTGTAAAATAAGCACTTGCATAATAAGTACCAGAAGCTTGTTCTCGTAATGACAATGCTCTTTCCACTGGAAATGAATTTATAACCATTAGAGTATCAAAAATACCTTGATTAATAGCACAAAAGAAAATCACTGGCCTTCGACGAACAATACTTGCTTGCCCGTTACCGATTTGTAGAAAAACACAACCAATTAAAATAGCAATAATGATTGTTTGAATGATTGATATGACAATAATTTTTCATGAACAAAATTGTTCTTGAAAATTGCGTCGAAGAAGAATAAAAAAAATTGAGTAATCCATTTCGGATTTTTTGGTAAATCTGCCATTTGAGCGATATGCTTGTGCGCACTCATATTCAGATCGATTTCAATAGCTTGAACTGTTAATATTAATTTATTAGCGTCTATTTGGTTTTCATTAGAAATAGATTGATTATTCTTTGTTCTTGTTGGTGTGATACCATCAAGTAACTAATCAGTTGGATTAGTATACAATTGGCAAGGGAAACCAACCCTACGATAAAGGGTGTGGGTGTGGGTATTAGTCTTGAGTTCAATAATATTCAAAACCAAACCCACACCCCAAATTTCAAGTATACACATCTCCAACCATTGCGTATTCAGGCGATGATATTTACAGTCCATCTATTCCATTTCGTTCAACCTCAGGACAATTTTATAAAACTAAAGTCGTGTTACAATGTCGTCAACAACCTGGAACATATAAGATTCAAGCTAAAACCATTCGTGCTGGCAGCAGGCGTATATGTCCTATTATTCCTAACAGTGAAATAGAATACTTTACAGAAGTACGATTATCTATTATACCATATGGATTACTTATTCGTGTTTTTCAATAAACATCTATCGATTTATCGTAAATCAAAAAAAAATATTTTCGCTTCTTATAAACCATCAAATATTTAGAAAGGTCTTATATATTATGTGAAAATGGATAACCGTCAATAACGGTTGAAAAATTTGTAAACAAAGAAAAGATATTTCGTTTTTGTTTTTACAGCTAAGAAAACCATTTCTGCTATCTAAAATTTGACGCTAATCAGAGTTTAAGTTATGAGTTTATCGAAATATGTAATAGTCAAATCAGCATTACTCTTTAGTCAATATGCTCTACAAATTCTATAGAGAAATCCATTCAAAGGATTAAACTGTGATTCTGGCGTAGCACAAAAATAACGTGTGCAATCTAATATACAATGCAACGTTTATTGTATATTTTAATTTACAATTTCATGTTAGTATATAATATGTTTTTATTAATGATATTTAAATTACCTTTTTGCATGTCAAATTCCATTTTATACTACAACTAGAATAATTATTCTGTTATACCAGGACCGTGTTTCTTCACTATATGAAATTTTTTGTTTCAAGTGTTTGTTTACAAATTGAAAGAGTTTAGGGATCCAAAATGAATAAATCTTGAATGATTATACTTGAGCACACTAATGGATTTGATATTTTCATCGGAACCGAAATGATGAAAATGAATCATCAGCTTCTGTTTATTGCTCATTTTCTTTTTTTTCACGTTTGTGACCGCGTCTTTATCATACCGATTGTTAAGCTCTACTTCTAGGAATTGTTTTGAACAAAGAATATACATCAAATGTTGAACGTAAAAAGGGTGTGGGTGTGGGATGTGGTGGTGGGTGTACGTGTATTTAGAGAGAAAACTCACACCCACGCTCATATCCCACACGCACACCCACACCCACTCAACACCCACACCCCACACCCACATCCACCCCACAGACGCTTATATAGGAGAGGTAGACAATGAACAGCAGTCAGACGCAGAGGTCACAAGGTCAATATGGAGAAAGAGGCACGGATGAAGATGATGGATTTCGTTACAAAACAATCCATTCGTCTACACAAGGCGATTGCAACTATTTCTGATTGGTTCCACCATGTTCAATTTAGATAATTTAATTTTCAGTCAGGAAAAATACGGTGAACAACGCTCAGAATGGGATGAGACAGAATGATTTTCTTATTTCAGGCGATTTCCGATTTTTGCTTCACGAAAAAATGTAAGATTTTTTCCATTGAAATATGATTCCAATAAAGCACTTTATTTGAGTCCTGACTAATAAAATTTATTATACTATCACTATTGGTCTTATTCTTCAACAGAAATATCTTCATTATTGACTTCTTTAGGTTACGTTTGATGAAAAAATGTTGAGTTTTTTTCCAGAAGTTTAAGCAATGAAACATAAAACTGTTTTTTTTTGAAGTTCCATGTGTTTCACATAATAACTTTTATATTTCAACCAGTGTGGGAGTTAAAACTGTTTTTTGAAAAAGTTAAAAGTTGAGAAAATCAGAAAAAGTTAAAATGGTTATAACTCGAGTTATAACTTTCAACCATGGTTATAACTTTCAACCATAGTTATAACCTTCAACCCAAGTTATAACCTTCAACCCGGGTTATAACCTTCAACCCGAGTTATAACCATCAACCATAGTTATAACTATTAACCATGGTTATAACTAGCAAACTTTTTTCGGATATTAATCTTCTAAAGGTTTTAGTCACGTGAAAGATCGTTCAGTGACGCCCTTCTGTATTTTTTCTTTCTTCTTGATGTTAAAAAACTTTGTTTGAAATGAGTTTTTTGTCAAAAGCGACCAGGAAAAAATCGAACAATTCTCAAAATACTTGTAGCTCTAGATACTGATCATACAGATCAATCGTTCTTACAGCAACGAAGAAGAAACAAGAACTATCTAGCTTTTCAACACTGCAGATTAATCATCCATACTATTTCGGTTCAAGATCAATTCAAGATAGCCATAAATTCATGTATATCATGCATCAACTTTTAGAACAACATTATTATTACCCTTGTTTACTTTTATTTTTTTTTCTTTCATTCTGCATGTATATTCTTCAACGAGTTTTTTCGTCCGATGTACATGCAAAGTTGACCGTCTGTTTTCGATTTTTGTTTAGCTAACACACAATCTTTACATTTCACAGATAGTATAATAATACGTATGAACAAGAATGTCGTTGTTTAGAAGAAATACCTTGATTTCTTTAGTTATTTAGTCTATCCTATCGGTCTAGTTTATTTAAAACATTACTAGAAAGAAGAAAAGAAACAAAGAAAAGAGAGAGAAAGTGAATTAAGTGATCTAGAAAATACGATCGTTGTTCTATCGCCGTGGACGATCGAACATAGAAAAGTATAAGAAGCAATAGAAATTTGTTTTATTTCATTTGTTGTTCGCACCATCATCTGGATAGTATATCGTACGAACTGCTCGTGCTGTTATTTAATTTTACTTGATATAATGTCTGATCGTACGACAAATTGGTTATCATCTATTGATCCACAAACATCTTCAAATGAAGTTACTATTGCTTCCACATCTTCAATTACATTTGTATCACCAAAATTAGGTGGTCGTCAACGTGATTTTATCTGGTCGTTTTTCAATGACATGGGTCCTGCTAAAACACCAGGTCATCGTAAAGCTCAATGCAAATATTGTTTATCATTCTTCAATTTTGCAAAACTTCATATTATGTATTCACATATTGCGCATCAATGTGATGAAATTGTTATTTATAATCCAAATGCACGAAAAGAAGTTATCATTAGAATGCGTGATTTCGAACAACAATCATCACCAGGTCGAGTTAGAAGACAATCCAGCGAGGTATGATATTTTTATTATTATTTTATTTTATTTCAAGAATTTCTTTAGGCTGGATCAGCCAATCAATTGATGTCCAAACAATATACAATGGATCGATTTACATCCAGAATAATATCTTATAGTGAACAACAAAATATTGATCGATATTTACTACGTGCTGTGATTATGAATGGTATATCATTTCGAACAGTCAATAATGATTTTTTTATTGAATTTGTCAAACAACTGAATCCATCTTATGATCTACCTAATCGAAAAAAATTAGCACATGAAGTGCTTACACAAGAAGTGGTATATGTGGAGAATAAAAATGAAGCATTATTAGCTGAAGCTGCTCATCTTACATTAAATATTGATGGTTGGAGCGATCGATGTCATCGATCGTTGTATGAATATAATGTCATTACGGATAGTCGAAAGGCTATCGTTCTCTCTCTTATCGATGTTAGTTCTTTTAGTCATACTGCAGTCTTTTTAGTCAACCGACTAGAGTCTGTTTTAGCTAGAGTTTCAACAAATATTAACATCACATCAAAAATACGTGCTATTGTTACTGATAACCCCACTACAATGCAAAAAATGCGTGAAATGTTTATATCTAAACCAGGAAATCAACATATTCTTGAAGTACGATGCTTTGCACATGCCATCAACTTAATTGCTGGTAAGATCACCTTTTTTCTCCATAAAGGTTTTTCAATTGAACATAGAATGCTAGAATTGTTTTTTTTGTTTAGGTGATGTAGTCAAGCATGTTTATGCTCAAAATATTTTACATAAAGTAACAATAATCACGTCTTTTTGTAATCGTTCACATGCTTTCAAAGCAAAACTCAAAGAAGAAGCTGAACGATTAAAAATAAAAAAACAAACTCTTCATACAATTGTTACAACGCGGTGGTCAAGTGTTGCTGAATGTTTAAATTCTTTTATTCTTCTTCGAGCACCACTTGAAGTACTTGTAGCTATTGATAAATCAATAGCACCTGCAAAAATTATTAATATAATTAATAATCGTTTATTTTTTCATGATATTGAAAATTTGTATAAGATTATGCAACCATTAGCTTATGTAATGACAATTATTCAATCTTCTTCAATTACATTAGCTGATTGTTATCTTATATTATCATATCTTCTTTTAACAACAGATAAATTTGTTCTTAATACAGAAATACGAACATTTGGCAAATTTGTTGGCAAGGTGGTTGATATTCGATTGAAAGAATTTCAAAATGATTTATATTTAAGTGCTTATTATCTTCATCCAAAATATCGTGGTGCTGGTATGCTTACTGCTGGCCGGTCAGCCGTATATCGTTATTTGGCTGAATATAGCAAAAAAATTGGGAACAATTTAGCAACAACAAAAAATATTATCAGTGCTTTACAAAGGTATGAAATTAAAAGTGGACCTTATGCACTTCATTTTACACAAGGTAAATGATGTAGATTCTGTTTCTTGTCTTATTTTTTTACATTAATAGATGATACACCAACATCCTGGTGGTCCATGATAAATGATAATACACATAAAAATTCATTATCCAATATTTCATTACGAATATTTTCAATTACACCTCATTCGGTCATGCCAGAACGATTATTTTCTATTTTAGACTGGCATCATACCAAACGTCGTAATCGTCTGAATCCATTTACACTTGAAGCAATTGCTAAAATACATACATTTTATAAAAATGGATCAAACAATGTTGATGATGTTAGGGATACTTGTTATTTGGAAGACATACTGGATTTAATGGATGATTCAAATTCAACTGCTGGCATTGTTGATGATGCAAATAATCCTATTGATGCAACTGATTTTATGCAATGCATTAATGATAACCATCATGCTTTACGTACAAAATGTGAAGCTGAATACATTAATGAAGAGCAATCTGCTGATAGCGAAAACATTCCAGAGCGTCATCATATTATAAATACTCAAGATCGAGATTATCAACAGATATTAATGGATATCGGCTTTATCAATGAAAATCAGCCGTTATCTCCTGAATATGATGAAATAACTGGAAATGATGTGGTCGACAATCGATCAAATGAAGATTATGATGTTGAAGAACTATTAACAGCTTCAATGGCTATATAATTATCTTGAAAAAGCTATTATTTTCTATCATGTTCTATTTTCTTTTGTTCATCTAATGATGTTATATTACCTGTTCGAATTATACTATTGAATTTATAATAAATCATCAATTCCACATTACATGTATTTTTATGTTAAGCTAAAGTCGTCTTTTGTTTTAGCAGAAAAGAATATGTTTTAAATGATAAAAACGACATGAAAGAAAATTGTACTTAAGAATGTCGCTTTACTGAATTCTGTAATTGAGATTCTAAAGATCTAAATGCTAGTGAGATTGACAAAATTTAAGCAGTTGATGGTTATAACTGCGGTTGATAGTTATAACTGCAGTTGATGGTTATAACTTCGGTTGATAGTTATAACTCGAGTTGAAGGTTATAACGCAAGTTGAAGGTTATAACTCGGGTTGAATGTTATAACCATGGTTGATAGTTATAACTATGGTTGACAGTTATAACTATGGTTGACAGTTACAACTCAATTAACTTTTTGGTCGAAAAGTTGATCGGTTATAACTCAAAAGTTATAACTCGAGTTATAACTACACCAGTTTTAACTCCCACACTGATTCTGACTGATAAACTGTGAAGAAATCTGTAGGGTTGACAGAATCCCTTCTATTTTAGTATTTCAAAACCGAGAACTTGTTATGGTTCCGTATCATTGAGCAGAACCTTTGGAGGTTCTGCATTATTAAGCAGAACTTCTAGAGTTCAGTATTTTTTAACAGACAGTGTTGGCTGGTTTGGCATTTCTGACAGGGAACTTTTTATAGTTCTCCATCATCGTGCGAAACTTCTAAGGGTTTTTCACTGTGATACAGAACCACAAATTTGTTCTGCATCCGTTGCAGAACCAAAAAGAAGCCTGCAAAAACTATTTTATTTTTTTCAGAGCAGGTCTGAGTTCCAAATCTTGACTTTTCTTTTTTGCGTTTT